CAAATAAATAAAATCTTTAAAAAAAAAAAAAAATACAATCATTTCTTTCTCTGCACCAACTTTTCCCATTCCAATTTTGAACACTAAGTGCTTACCTTAATAAGGGTCACGATTCCTTCATTTGTTTGAGTATCAGTTTCTATGTGGAAATAACCCATTTCATTTCCTGATACAAATGTAAAATTTGCTAACCAATTATCAGAGCCTATTTCATCTGCATCGAACACTTTTATGCGCATAACTTCTACATTGGCTTGATTTTCTTCAACTACCCATTCAGTCTGCAAAACATGAACATAGGGTTTTTATTTTAATGTAGCACAAACGTAAGTGATGTATTTTTAGGTAAGACTAAAATATGAGTAAGAAGATACAACTGTTATAAAAATAATAGTTACCATTCCATTTTTGACTACAGGTATATTGTCATTGACATCCAAAATACGAATCTGAACTTGAGCTTGATTTACTGGTTTATCTGTAATTTGTCCATTGCCGTCTCTTGCTTCTACCGTCAAAGTATAGCTGCTGTGTTCCTGCAAGGCAATGAAAAATATCCATCTGGGGTGAAAATTGATCACTCCCAAATCTGTCTTTCTAGTTCATTTCATCATCAAGAGAATGAACCACAGCATATTTTATTCATAAATATGTTTTACGATCTGTTATTCATGTGAAGATGTTGTTTATTTGCCGTCAGAGCATTTCTAGAAGCCAGAAAAAGCCTAGAGAATTTGTTGGTAGTCAAATTCTTAAATATGTCATTGGTGACATTATCAGGAAATGAGTCCCTCCTTAAAATAGTCTGTGCACAAAGAAGTGCCATTCAAAATGTAGTTTGCTCTACAGGGAAGTGATGAGGAGTGGGGGGGTGACTATAGGAATTGGTTCTCTCTTCATTTTTAGCTAAGAATTAAGCAAGGAAAACCTAGTCCCCAAGAAAACTTGGCTGGTGAGGAAAAAATGTGGTTGACTTTGTCCAAACATTCTGAGAGAGATGATTCTTAGAGAACCTGTCCTAGAGAATGATGTCTCACATGCTATTCCAAAGTGAGCCCTTCTCTTCCACACGGTCCCCTTATGGGGGCTCCATTTGGTAATGCTGGAGTGTAAGAAAAAGTGGGGCCAGCCAGTGCCAATGCATGGGGGTCCTGTGTGGGACAGAACAGCTCAGTGCAAGTCAGGACAACTAAGGCCCTGGAGCCAGTTGCTTGGATTCCATTCTGTCTTTGTCACTTGCTAGCTGTGCTGGATATACCCTTAATCCTTTTGACCCTTGGCTTCCTTCTGTGTAAAATGGGGATAATAACTGGATTTGCATCACAGAGTTTTTAGCTGGATTAAATGGGTTAATCTATGTAAAAGGCTTCAAATAGCACTTGGCACATGGTTGATGCCCAATAAGTGACAGACATCGTTATTGGCTACACTTGCCCTACTTCACAGACAGCAGCTTGTCACAAATCAGGATAGTTAAAAATAATACTTTTCCACTGTAATTTTATGTGGAAAGGTACAGAGTAGAATTTTAGGGAGTAATAACATTCTTTAGTTTTACAGAGATCCTGTTAGCAATGTTGGGCACAATCTTCTCCCTCTCTGGGCAAAATGAAATCATTTTCCCAAGTAATACAAAATATAGTGACTGCACCTGGATGATGACTTATGTTTGATGACAATACAGTGTTCTTAGGATCATCCACATTTTCCTCGTGCACACTGTTAAAACCTTCATGTATGTAGCATTTAAAAAATCTTCTATTTCCTGTTTTCATCTAAAACTTTCCCTTTGAGTTAGAAATAAAAAAGTGAAATATTTGAGAATAGCCTGCTCAGGAATCCCACTGAAATTTTCCTCCAATTTGGGATTTACAACGATTCTTTCCTTTACGAATATTTCTATTATCCTGAGTAGGACTCTTACATCAGTCTCTGTTCCTCCCTCTATGTCTGTATTAGTGGTAGAGGAGACTCCTGATGTTTCATTACAGAAGGACAAATTATGGAACATTGCTTTAGGATGCTCTAGCAAACAGAATCCTGACTGGAAAGGCCCTAGAACAGAGCTGTCCTCATGTTAAGTTTTCTAACAGTCAAATTTTAAAAAGTTAAAAAAAGGTGATACTACTAATTTTAAACAAATACATTTTATTTAACCCATGGTATCTTAAATATTATTGTGTCAACATGCAATCAATAGAATATTACTAAGGTGATACATTACATTTTTTAATTCATGCTAAGTTTTTCCAAGCTGGTGACTTTTTTACATTTATAGCACATCTCAATTTGGACAAATCACACTTCAAGTGCTCAATGGCCACATATGGCTAATGGCTACCATACTGGACTGCACATCACTAGAAGAGGGTATTTCTAGGAGTTATCCTATAAATGAAGAATAGCTAAGAAAGTAAGAAAATTTAAAAAGAAATAAAGAGAAAGGAAAACCTGAAAAGATAAAGAAGAGTTTAAAAGATGAGCAACATAAAATACTAATTTACCTCTCTGTCCAAGGTGAAACTGGTTGTATAAATCTCCCCTGTGTCTTTATCTAGGTGGAACACTGGAGGATAAGCAGGCTCCTGAGATACGATTCTATAGGAAATTTTAGAATTCAAGGTATTGGGCTCATCTGCATCTGTGGCGCTGATTTTCATCACAAGGGTATCTGGCATTAGAAACAAAGGTGTCCAAGGTGAAGCTCAACTTTAAGCACAAGTTATGTACATTATTATTTTCTTATAATTTCAGCCTGTTCACAAAAGGATTTCAAGTGCTTATCAAAATCACAGTTTACCAAGATGAAAACCTTTAATTGGATGAGAAAGTAAGTGTGAATGGGGTGCAGAAATAGGAAAGATAAGAAGAGGGCAAGCCTGCAAATTTATTTATAATAGTTCTAATAATCAATACAAAGAAAGAAGGATGAACAGGTACAAATACATGGTTAGTAAAATACAAACAATTCAGGAGAAGCATAGCAGTTCTTTATATTATGATCAAAGAGAAATCTCTCCTGCAAGTCTTCACATGGACCACTGCATTGGACCATGTTGTCAATAAACCCGACAATAGGAATAATGTAAGTCAAAGGTCAGCGAACTACGGCCAGTGGGCCAAAGCCAAAGCCAGCCATCTGTTTCTGTAAATAACATTTTATGGGAACACAGCCACTCCCATTTGTTCACAGGTGTCAATGGCTACTTTCCAGCTACAAGGCATCACAGTTGCTACAGAGACCTAACCCATCCCATTGATCTGCCATGTCTGTTCTTTTTTTTTTTTTAAAGATTTTATTTATTTATTTGACAGAGAGAGACACAGCGAGAGCAGGAACACACGCAGGTAGAGTGGGAGAGGGAGAAGCAGGCTTCCCGCCCAGCAGGGAGCCCGATGCGGGGCTTGATCCCAGGACCCTGGGATCATGACCTGAGCCAAAGGTTTAATGACTGAGCCACCCAGGTGTCCCTGCCATGTCTGTTCTGAGGGTAAAAAAAAGATGTCACGTAAAGCCTTCAGAATTTATCACAGAAAAAGCAGTTCCAAACCTAGAGGGATAGATTTATTACCATTTGTCCTGTGGTAGTACTTAGCCTCCATCAAGATATAGGATTTAGCATTCAGTTACATAATGGGGTTAATATGACTGGTGGTACTCATTCATAAAATTAACAAGCTCTGACCTGCGGCACTCAGCTCTTCAATAGACCCAGCAAAGACATCCTGTGTGAACACTGGCTCATTGTCATTGATATCTAAAACTTTAATGCGGAGTTCTAATGGTTTCTCCAGATTGTTTCCTCTTTCATCCAAAGCATAACCAAATAGCTGAAATCATGACATAAATAATAGAAGAGATTAAATGTAAGCTAAAGTAATTAAATTACCACAATATAAAAACAAATCATAACTATTACCAAAGAAAAACTGCAAACTAATTAATGTAAAACTGTTCTCCTTACCAGAAAACTCGGCGTTTCTTCTCGATCAAGAATCCTGGTGATGTTCAATTCTCCCGTGTTTTTATTAAAGACAAACACACCAAACGGTGACTCTGTGATCCCTTTTCCAGTGTATTTGTATGTAATTTTTAGTCCTCTTTCTAGTGCAATATCAGAATGTATCTAACATGAAAATAACAGAAGAACGCCCCAAGTTAAACTCTCTGTAACTTACATGCACATATTTTTAATGGAAAATTTCCCTCTGAAGTTGTCATAATGTTGATAGGAGGGAGGGGGGAGGACACAAGCACTCAAGAGAAGATGTGCTGATGTCAGAGAACCTGGGTTCAAATCCTGTCTCAGCCACTCACTGGTTATGTGATACTAAGAGTTACTTAACCTCTCTGTGCCTCAGTGTTCCTATCAGTAGAGTGGGGAGACACTACTGCCTACCTCTTATGGTTGCTATGAAACTAAGATATCATTAGGGGTATATCTTGGGAGGAAAGATTTCAAATTTAGCACATGAGGAGGGGCGCCTGGGTGGTTCAGTCAGTTAAGCATCAGACTCTTGATTCTGGCTCTGGATGTGATCTCAGGGTCATGAGATTGAGCCCAGTGTCCGGCTTCACGATGGGTGTGGAATCTGCTTGAGATTCTCTCTCCCTCTCTCTCTGCCCCTCCCCCCACTCTCTCTCTCTCTCTCTCTAAAAAATAAATAAAATAAAGTTTATAATTAGCACATGAAGAAAAAATTGCAGTGTCAAAATCACCTCTATAAATCCATTCAATCATCTGGAAAGTCTGAATAAGGCATCCTTCTATAGAAGGATTAAAAAAGTCAAGCACCTTCCCTGCTTGGAATGCCTCAGGAAATTCATGCATCTAACTCATTTCTAATGTCTTTGGTAGTCGTCTTTTTTTTCTATAAATAATTTCATTCATGTCCGTAATTCTTCATTAGCAAATGTGTCTCTGTGGTCCCCTATTGGTTCCTTAATATTCTTCTTCAGACATCTTAGAAGCCATGGCCACTCACCTACCTGATCACTTCTTTGTCCTGAAACCTGGGGATTAGTTACACTTCCTTCCTCAGGATTAGTTACACTTCCTTCCTATAGGTTTCCCAACATGCCCTGGGGGTGGGGAACTACTGTCGAGAATGACCAAGGAGACTGCAGATGGGGGCCTCCAACCTCCTGCTACACCACACCAGCTCTGCTCCTGGAGTGGAACGGTGAACCTGGGGCAGTCCATGATTACCTTTCACTGAGCTTCTGTCTCCATCTATCTGCCTTTCTCTTTCTCTTGTGCTTCTGTCTGTCTCTGTTTTTTGCCAAGTATATGCATATATATACAAACATGTATGTGTGTGTGTGTAGTATTTCTAAAGAATTCTAGGTCTTCATGTACTAGTTATATATATATATATATATATATAGTTATATATTACATCATGCTATTTAGGTTAAAAATAACCTAAATGAAACTGAGTGTGGACATAACTGTTGGTTTGTTTATATTTATGTATATACGTAAGAGTATGTAAGTATACACATACTTATGAATTTCTTAAGATTTAGAGGATACCACACTGTTGACAGTATTACCTTTACAAAGAGAATTTGGAAAGTTGGGGAAATTCAACAAGAACTTTTACTTCTTATGTAAATTTTACATATGTAACAACTTTTTATGTAAATTTTACATATGTAACTCATGTAACAAAAATGTACTATAAATGTAAAATTACTAAGAACAACTAATGCTTACTGAATCCCAAAGAATCAATGCATTTTGGAGAAACCTACTGAAAAAAATGTATGAATGACTCAAACACCTCAGACAACCAAACCAAACCAGCAAATATAATTGCTTGTATACATACTATTATGTAAAGCCATAATTAAAAATTCGAATTTTAGAAGGCTTTTATGAAAAAAATATGTTCCTAGACAGAGGAAATCATTGTCTTCTGTTCTGTAGCTGCTCTTCCTTTGAAGGAGCTCGTTTACAATTTGGAAAGATAAAGATAATACTTGGATATGAACATGTATTCATTCACACATGTCTCATGAGCCCCCACTGGATGTTGGCATTGCTTGGGGGTACAGGGCATGAGCTGTGAGCCTAAGAACTAAGCCCCTGCCCCCAGGGAGCTTACACTCTACTAAGGAAGCCAGACAACAAGCAAGCAATGTATAGCATGTCATGTAGTGGAATGCACTATACCCAGGCTGAAATGGGGGGGAAAGGGATAGAGAGAGATGGGGTGAGGCAGAAAAGGGAACTCTTTTAGGGGATGTCACTTGGGCAAAGGCTTGATGCTGTGAGATACTGCAAGTATCTATGGGGAGGGGAATCCAGGCACAGGGAATAGCAAGGGCAAAGGGTGAGGAGCTGGGAAGAATCTGTTGGTTTAGGGATGTAGGAGAGTGAGAGACGGTGGCGGGTTGGGTTGTTAGGAGCTGAAGTTAGAAAGGAGGTCTTGTATTAGAGCTCTACAGGTCAGAGTAAAGAATATTCCTTCCACTGCAGCAGGAAGGTTGAACATTGGGGGTGAACATTGAAAGCCCTTCATAAGGGGGTGAACATGCTTTGATTTGTCTTTTTAAAAGATCACTCTGGCTGCTTTCTGGGGAATGGACTGTGGCAGGGTGGGGGATGGCAAGAGCGAAGCAGGCAGACAAGGTCAGGGGCTCTTTTGCTAGCTCAGGTCAGAGATGACACTGACTTGGACGATGGGGGTGGCCGTGGAGAGAAGTGAGCAGATCTGGAATATATTCTGGAGGTAGAACTAATAGTGTCTGCTACATTTTTGAAAAACTGGGTAGAATTATAGTGTCATTGACTGAAATGGGTAGAACTGATGGAGGACAGCTTCAGGGGACAAATTAAGGGCTCAGGTGTGCACATGCTAAGTCCGAGATACATACTAGCAGGATTACCATCTAATTTATCAAAAATAGGACACTTTGAGAGTGAAAGGGGGTTATCAATTATTAGGTCAGGACAATGGGTATACACCAAGGATGTATGGTCACCCTCCCTATTAGATACCAGTTCTTTTCATTTTGAAAATTACTTTTTATATGTAGAGTGGCAGAATATGCCATCCCCAAATATGTCACTTTGGTGTAGTATTAATTTGAGCTGAAAGCAATTGAAAAGCAGATTCAAGAAAAGTTCTCTGCCCTTCCCCTATGTGCCTAAAAGCAGTCCATAAATTTGTAAAGGTGTCCTCCCTCCCTTCTCTACCAGGAAGGACAAAATTTAATCATCAGAGACAACTTTAGACCCTTATCAGCTCAGAGAAGGCACCAAGCATCCACATAACGAACTGTATTAACTAGCCTATCTCTATCACTGGTTCCCCATATATTGACCTTCCCACAATTTTCCATCCCTAGAGATTCAAGGACCTTTTCCTTTGTCTTGTCACGTCTCTAAAGTTTACTGTTGCTTTGCTAAGATGCTTTATAAGCCCCAATTCCAACCAAACCTTTGAATTATTCATCTCTGGGTACTCCCATGTGTTATAGGAGCAATACACACATTAATAAACTTGTTTGTTATTCTCCTGCTAATCTGTCTTTTGTCAGTCCAATTTATAGGGCACCAGCCAGAGAACGGAGGGGGGATAGCAGGAAAAAGAATTTTTCCTCCTCTACATATAATATCCTCTTTTGAGTATTGTAGCCCTCTCAATTAAACGAAGATTCAACCAGTGTCAGATCCCTGACTCTTAGGTGAATCAAAGCCCCAAATTCTATAATACATATAGAATATTAAAAGACTCATTAAGTACATTATATTATTCTCTTTAAATTTAAAAATGAACATAAAAGTCTTCTCCCACTATATTTCAATAATATACATATATTTCCTATTTCTCTGTAGAAGGTACCTTGGCAATTGGATTCCTTTTGGACAGATCCTCTCCTTCCCGAAGAGCCACAGGGGCAGTGATCCAGGCACGCTTTTGCCGAACTAAGTGAGTGTGTTTAGGAAGCAGAGTATTTTCATTTCTTGTGTTTAAAATCTACAACAATAAAATATTGTCAAAAAATTATTAAGTATCCTAAAACATTAGTATGGTATTCTGTAATTTACTAAAACTTTAAAAATAGTTATGCAAATCTTAAGGTATAAATTTCATATTTTTTAACAGGGTTCATTTTCAAAGGGGAAGTATATACACTCTAACAAACTCCATGGGCATTCAAGAAATTGTCTCTAAACCAGTAGAACAGTATAGTTTTGTTTTTATCAGTAAGAATAGATTTCCCAGAGTGAAGAGTTACAAAGGCTTTTTTTTTTTTAAAGATTTTATTTATTTATTTGAGACAGAGAGAATGAGAGAGAGAGAGCACATGAGAGGGGGGAGGGTCAGAGGCAGAAGCAGGCTCCCTGCCGAGCAGGGAGCCCGACGCGGGACTCGATCCAGGGACTCCAGGATCATGACCTGAGCCGAAGGCAGTCGCTTAACCAACTGAGCCACCCAGGCGCCCCTCCAAAGGCTTATTAAAGTGTCCAGACTAAGGCCTAAGATGCCTTAGGGCCTATGCTAAGCCCCACATTAATACATTGGAACCTAACTAAATTTCTGTGTTTGGATCTCCCAGAAAAGGAAGGCCTAGGCCAAGCAGTCAGCCCTGCCCTGCTCAGGACCTTATCTTATCTGCCCCAGCTCCAAAGTGACTCTGCTCTAATCAATCAGCAAATACCCAGTGTATAACTTCCTATTCTTGCTGGCTTTGGTCTATAAAATCCTCTTACTTTGTATAACTCTTTCCTAGACTGGATGCTTCCCTATTCATGATCACTGAATAAAGCCAACCAGATCTTTTCAAGATTTATGATCACTGGATTGTTCTTTTAACAGCCTAGAGTAATTGAGTGACCACAAAAATTGGCAAATTAAAAAATAATATAGTGTGTCAAAAATTCTTTCCTTACCAAAAATGAAGTTTCATTTTTCTGTGGTGGCTTATAGTTTAAAAATGAATTATTAAATGTTTTAAAACTAAATCTTAGTAACTAACCTGTGGCATCAATTTAACTGAAATCTAGTGAAACTGTCAGTTAATGAATTTATTGTTTAAAGGATGAGGTAAAGGATTAAACTGTCCACTTTTGTTTTCAGAACCTTAAGTAGAAAAGATTTATTCTATATATTTTCAGTTGGGCTTTAATGGACAAACATTTTATGCAAGGAAAATTTCAATACAGCTGACCTAGTATATTAAGATCAGAAATGATTATTATACTAGGTTTATCATCTTACTTATTGTGTTGCTCTATATAACATGTATTTTTTTCAGAATATACTGGTTATCACTAGGTCATTGATTTTTTAAATTTTTAGTTGAAAAAATTTTTCTAGGACTTAAAAAATTAAATTATGTAACAAAAGAGCAAAATAACATTACAGTTCAGAATGTAAAATACAAAACTTTATTCTACTTTCTCTCTTACACTTCAGAGTATTCACTGTTTACTGCTTGATGATCTTGTCTTATGACCTTACAGTTGCACATGTATAAAGCTCTTTGTCCTATAAAAATGGAATTACATCATACATCTTATTCTGCCCCTTGATTTTTCATTCAGTACCTCATCGTGGACATTCTTCATGTACCATAAGTTGTTTTACCATCTATCAATGAACATTTAGATTGCCACAAAATGCTGCATTGAACATCCCTGGATATATGTTCTGTGCACTTGACTGAGTGGGAATGGCTAGCTCTAAGGGACTGTGCATTTTTAATCTGGTAAGGCATAGCCAAATTGCCCTCCATGAAATTAAGCCTCTGAGTCCAAAACACAGAAATGATCCCCTTGGTTCCTTACCTCTAAATGGAGTCCATTTCCAAAGTTAAAGCAGATCTGGAAAATAAAATTATTTATTTGTTGTTTGATATAATTTATCACTCAGTTCAGTTTAAATACTTGTTGATAACTTACCACGTAAAATAGTATAGATATTTAAAAAAGGTTTAACCACCACCATTACTATCCTTGTTTGTAAAAAAATATTTAATTTTCCCCTTTGTCCACCCTCCACCCCCCCATGACCAGGGCCAGAGACAGGAATCTACATTCTTCTTGATCCACACTGCCTCCTCCAGGAAACTCAGAACACAACTAATATCTGAAAAACAAAAACAAGAACCCTCCATCTCATGTTCTCAGGGACCCACACAACTTTCCTCAAGGCCTTTAGTGTGAAATATACCCTCCACTCCTGGCTCTCCTAACTCCCATCATTTCCAGGGTCACCCACATGACTGCCCATATTCAGATTTCATACTTAAATCCCACCAACTCTTTTCTTTGGTTCTTATCAAGAACTGTCACACTTTGGGCTTCATCATCACACAGAACTACATTACAGTTATGCTTATTCTAAAATCTGCACAATAGGGGAGCACCTGGATGGCTCAGTTGGTTAAGTGGCTGACCCTTGATTTTGGCTCAGGCCATGATCCCAGGGTCCTGGGATCGAGCCCCGCATTGCATTGGGCTCCCTGCTCAGCGGGAAGCCTGCTTCTCCCTCTCCCATTCCCCCTGCTTGTGTTCCCTCTCTCTCGCTGTGTCTCTCTCTGTCAAATAAATAAATAAAATCTTAAAAAAAAAAGAAGTCTCTCATGGTTTGTCTCCCTCTCTGATTTATTCCCATTCAGTTTTCCCTCCCTTCCCCTATGATCCTCTGTGCTATTTCTTATATTCCATAGAGTGAAACCATGTAACTGTCTTTCTCTGATTGACTTATTTCACTCTTGCTGCCCTTTCTTTATAGTCCAATAATCTCTTGGTTTCACTTTTCCCTTGACTTAATTTAAACCAGTTCTTTTTTAAATTTTCTTTTAAAATTTTTTAAAGATTTTATTTATGTATTTGACAGAGAGAGACACAGAGAGAGGGGGAACGCAAGCTGGGGGAGTGGGAGAGGGAGAAGCAGGCTTCTTGCGGAGTAGGGAGCCCAATGTGGGGCTCGATCCCAGGATCCTGGGATCATGACCTGAGCCGAAGGCAGACGCTTAACGACTGAGCCACCCGGGCACCCCCCCTTTTTTTTAGATTTTCTTTATTTATTTGAGAGAGAGAAATTCTAAATTTTTTAGAATTTATTTATTTATTTGCACGAGCAGGGGGAGAAGCAGGGGGAGAGAGAGAGAGGGAGAAGCAAACTCCCTGCTCCGTGGGGAGCCCATCGCGGGGCCTGATCCCAGGAGCTGGAGATCATGACTCCAGCGGAAGTCAGATGCTTAACTGACTGAGCTACCCAGATACCCCTAAGCCAGTTCTTTCTAACATGGTAGCCACATGTGGCTATTTACACTTAAATTATTTTAAATTAATAATTCATTTGCTCACTGTTCACATGAAGCAAGTGGCTTGAAAACATTTCCAACACTGCAGACAACTCTATCAGACAACGCTAGTAGATTATGGTCAGCCATTCCAAAGATGCTGTCAGTGACTCTGGACCCCTCAGTCTCTTGACTTTCTAATATTCCTGCCTCACTTTTCCCCCAACCCTGTGAGCCTGCTGCTCTCTTTGACTCTGGCACTGTCCTGGCAACAATGCTAGACAGGGCCATAGAGGCTGCATGGACCCATCACACCCATTCACTTTCTAACAGCTGCTCCCTCCACAGAGGTGGTGACTCCTTTCTAGGGTGACCGTGTGTTTACTTTTGCCCAGGAGAATCTCGATGACACCTGCTGTGCAGGCTTCCCATCTGTATAACCCATTCATTCTCAAAAGTGTGCTCATTCAGACCATAAATTATATAGTTACCTTATCTTTGTATAGTAGCCCTATCATACCATTCCACACTTGAGGAGACAACCCCAATCACACGGATCACACCTCTGAACCCACTCACTCTTAGATGACCCCACTTTTTATCTGATTGAGATTGTATCTTCAATCCTCCTCTCCTTCCCTGCCTTCTCCAAGACAGAGCTGTCTTGATTCCCTTCCAAAGTTAACCATCATCTGTATGCTTTATCTTCAACTTTCTACTTATTCCCCCACATTTACCTTCTCAAGAACCTTGTTCCTTCCACTAACTTTTT